TTCCTGCTCCTATGATGCTGCTTGGCCTGCTGTGTTCATCCAGCTCTACACCTTGTTATCTCACTTCTTGTCAAACTTTTCTTTATTACACATGAGGATATTTGCAAGAATACCAATATAAATGACATAAAATTTTTTACTGTATGTGAAGAGAGTGCTGATTGGTTACAAGTGGCCTCCAAATAGTGGAGGTGTTGCCATGGAGAATGCATCAGTTAGATGATGATTGATGGTTAACTGCCGAGCATTGTTTAAATTTAAATCAACAAATTGGCACTGATTGGTCAAGGTATTGCTCTGAGAAATGAACCAGATGCTGGCAGTTACCTATTTTGATAAGTTAAAACCAAAGTGTAATGTGTGTACATTTTTTTCCTGTCTACAATGAACAATGTACATCAATATTCTGTGCCTTCCAATACACTAAAATGTTCTTGCCAACCAATCAGCACTCTCTTCTCATATAGTATAAAATATTGTTCTCTTTAAGTTTGGTATTGTGCAACTTGATGAGCGTAAAACAAAAAGCTTCAACAAAATGTGTAATTTTTCAGCAATGTTCTGTTCTGTACTCTGAATAACTATAAATTTCTTATTTAATATTGAAAAAAGGTTAAAAAACCACTCACCTAACCTACTAGCCTCATGCACATGTTCCAGTAATCGTTGTTTAAACCTCTTCACCTTTCCTTTGAGTTTTTCAAATTTTAATATAACAATTTTTCAGATCAGGAGCAAATTACTGCAGATGATGGAAACTGAACTGTAAACTAAAAATACTGGAGACGACAGCGGGTCAGGATTGCTTTCTCTCCATGGATGCTGCCTGACCTACTGTGATCTCCCGCAATTTTTGTTTCAACCTTTCAGATCAGTTGTGATGTGAAATCTACACCCAAAATATTAATTGGTAATTTATTTCTTTATAGATGTTGACGTTCACTGTATATTCCCAATTTTCTTTTAGTTTGCATTTGAGATTCCTGCATTTGCAGTACTGAATTATCTTTGTGTCAGGAATGATGGACTAGCCGAGACAATGAATCTTACTTTCCGTACCTTTGATAGTGATGTTAGCAAGTACCACACACCTCGCTCTTTCACAGTGCCAGTATAGTGCAGATATTCCTTCTTCAAGTAAAGATCCATCCCATATTGCTTAGAGAGCCTGGAGTACTGGAAATAAAAAAGAGTGTATTTTCTAAGTAACTGAGGCTTTGGTTGAGTTGTTGACAAGTTGTAAATACCCATCAAAATCTTAGCAAACATTTATGTGAGTGTATGAAATACAATCTCAATTTTGAGTCAGATTGTGGTAGGAAAAGGGCTGTCAAATTTGAATAGAATCTTTCAGTGTCAGAAGGTCATGTGCTCATGTCCCACTGTACAGATTTTGGCACATAATCAACATGTGACCCAGCAAGCTTTCATTCAAAATTCAAGTGGAGGTGGAAGACTTTATAAAGAGGTGTTCCACCAATCAGTGGCTGGTTCTCTTCCGCATTTTCTGCTGATAGGTTCACTAGTGACCTTGGAAGGGAATGGCAGTCTTGTAGTCAGGGGGAGTGGGGGATGTGAAGAACAGACATTTAAGTACAGATAAGTTACATACAAACATTACATTCATAGACACATAAGTATATGGGCTAACATTAAACTATTAGATTATAACAAAGAGCACTTTTGTTAAGTGTCATGCTTCAAGTGATCCAAGGTGAGATAGCATATTAGATCTTTAGACCTTCGGATCAAATGCTTAGATACACTGATGATATCATAAATATGCATCTTAAAGGTATACTGGCAGTGAGACAGAACGTTTCTCTTAAATAAAAGCATTTCTCTTGCTCTGCTACTTACCCAAAGGAGCAAATATAAAGTTTCATTAGTAAACTCTGTTGCCAGGCACTTTTAAAAAGTCATTTTTATTGATTAGACATTTAAATGATCAATTTCAATGAATCACAAAAGTGTTATGGTGCAGAAGGAGGCCATTCGGCCCATCATGCCTGCTCCAGCTAACTAAATGTGCATTTTTGCTTTGCAATGTTTTATTTTGCCCAAAACTCATGTTTACTGTTGTGGTAAAGCTTACTTTTCTGAAATATGCTCACTGGCTCCCTGGGTGAGAGAGAAATTGAAATGTTACCAACCCTTTTTTAAAATCTCGCTATGGCATGATCTCCTCCAGTTCCATAACTCTCCTGAGATATCTGACCTGATGGCTTCTTGCACATCCCTATTTTAATTGCTCCACCACTGGTTGCCGTGTCTTCAGCTGCTTATCCTAAACATGGAACTTCTTCCCAAAAGTTCTACGTTCTCGTTATACACATTCCTTAGAACAACCTCTTTGAACAACTTCTGGTGTTTAATTATTTTTATTCTATTATGGGATGTGCAAGACCAACATTTGTTACCCATTCCTAATAGCCCCTTGAATTAAATCGCATGTTCAGCCATATCAGAGGGTAGTTTAACAGTCAACCAAATTGCTGTTGGTTTGCAGTCAGGTGCAGATGGCAGATTTTCTTACCTGAAGGACATTAGTGAACCAGATTGGTTTTCTAGATCAACTGATGATAATTTCATGGTCACCATTACTAAAATTAGCACTATACTTGTTGTAGATTTTGTTGTAATATTTCATTTAAGTGTTTAATGCCAAAGTCTTATTTATAGTACTCCTGTGAAGTGCCTTGAACACTTTATTTTAAAGATGGTATATAACAGAAGTTGTTGGAAGAACTGGGAGAAAGGGTTAGAGAACTGTCAGTAAACCATGGATTAGGGAAGGTAATTCCAAGATACTGAGCAGATATTGAGAAAGCCTCTTGTGGTTGAATCTAGGATTGAAAGCATAAAAATATCACTGACTGTTGTAAAAAAAAAACCCCACATTGTTCACTACTGTCCTTTTGGGAAGGAAATCTGCCATCCTACTTGGTCTAGCGTATATGAGATTTCAGATGGTTGACTCTTAACTCTGAAATGTCTGTTCAAAGGTAATTAGGGATGAGTAACAGATCTTGACCTTGCCAGTGATGCTCACACCTCTTGAAAGAATAAAGGAAAATAATAAAATGACCAAAAGCTTTGTTAAAGAGTTGTGTTTCAAGCGGAGTCTTGAAGATGGAAAGGGAAAGGCATTTTGGATGTTTGTCTTGGGGGTGGATGTTATTTTTCAGAAATGAGGGGCAAGATATTAATGTGATGTAATGTAAACAGAATCAGGGCAGTACAGAATTGAAAGAGTTCAGGGAGCTTTACGTGAGAAGCCACTGGAGTGTTCATGTACTAATTGGAAACTGACACACAGGTGGAGTGGGCTGTGCTGAGGGAAGTGTTTAGTCCCATTGCTGAAACTAAGTAATGGGAACTTTCCTGCGCAATCTAATGCAGGGTACGTATTACTCCGAAGTATTTGAATTGACAGGGTGGGGGTTTGTGAGAGAGGAGGTGCACTGATATGGTGATGTGGCTCAATGGCTGGCACTTACTCCCCTGAGTCAAGAGGGTTGCGAGTTCAAGCACCATTCCTGAGACTTGAGCAGAAAAATGCAGGTTAACTCCGGTGTAGCGCTGAGGTCATGCTGCACTGATGGAGGTGGCTTTATTTGGGGTGAAGTATTAAACCGAAGACTCCTCTGTACTCTCAGATAGATGTAAAAGATTGCATGGTGCTAGTTCAAAGAGAGTCCTACCTGGTTATCCTTCAATCAATATTATTAAACAAACAGAATATCTTTATCATTATCATTAATCACATTGCAGTGTGAGAAAGCTAGCTGTGCACACATTGGCTGCTGTATTTCCTATGCTAGAACAGTGACTATACTTTAAAAGTAGCTCATAGGTTGTGAAGCACTTTGGAACACTCTGAATTTGCAGAAGGCACCATATAATGTAAGCCTTTCTGTTTTTGCTTTTGGAAATTTTCAATGTTCAGTGCACCTCTGCTGGAGTATGGAGATGCCAACTCTAAGCCTTAGCCTCAGTGAATGTGAGCCCAGCATTCACATAAGGGACTCACACTGCGAAAGGTAGCTATCAACTTACCGTGCAGGGTGTTTTCTGGACTCCATTTGAGATTTTGAAGGCTGCTACACTGATGTCCTCAAATTGTATTTGCCCGCTGCAGTTTCCTCGGATCCGGTTTGTCTTGTGCTCTGGCATGTTTACGGCATTGCTGAGCTGTGTTTCTGAGTGGCCCGTAACGGTTATGTCACAAGTCTTGACATCTTTTTCCAGGTACTCATCCTCCCCAAAGTCCTTCAGCCTCTCCGGATTTATTGCCCTGGGCTGGAGCAAGGGGCACCCATTCACAATTTGGCCATCCCTTTGGTGACAAGAATCACTGCTTGTGGATGGACACTGGTGAACCTGCTGTCCCCCATTTTCAGAACTGTAAAAAATACAAATAAAGAAATATTGTTGTCGAGTAGTAACGCTGGGCTTCCTTTCCTTGGGTGTAGATGTGACAACAGCACCTACATCACTTAGAAGAACAAACAACAGAGGACATGAGAAAGCCATTGACTCCAAATTCGCCTCCAAATCACACACCATCCTGATTTGGAAATATTTTCATAATTGTAATCCTTGGGTCAAAATATTGGAACTTCCTCGCAATATCAGCACCGTACCTTCACCACTGCGGGTTGCCTTAAGGGCAACTAGGGATGGGCAATAAATGCCAACCTCTCCAGTAATGTCCACATACTGAGAATGAATAATTAAAAAATACTGCGCCCTCTTGGAAATAAAACAACAGGTCTGAATGATTAATCAGAGTGCTTCCTTCCTTAATTGCTAGCTCTCTTTTGTCTCAGTGAGGTTAATTGGTCAGGTGAGCCATGCAACAACAATTTGCATTTATTAGCAATGTAGCATAATGGCCAGGTGCTTCATTGAAATGTATTCAAGCTAAGTTTGACACTCAGCATGTAAAAGAGATACAAAGGCAACTGACAAAATGTTTGCTGTAAGGGTTAAATCTTAAGAAATATCTTAGGAGAGAGAGTTAAAGATATGGACAGGCGATAAGAGGATTAACCAGAGATTTCAGCTCAGGGAAGGTGTCTGGCTAGATTCTCTGTCATTGCTAACTCATGAAGCTCAGTCAGACTAACAGGAGAGGGGAGAATGAGTTGGGAGGGATTGGCAATCTGTCAGGGTGGCTATCTTCTTCATTATTCAGCAATGTGTATGGGAAATGTGTATCTGGTCTCAACATGCACTGTTTAGAAGATCTGTTGTATGCAGCAGGATCCAGAATAAGTGTGTCTCAGATTGATTGAAAATGGCACTCACAAGACACTGATTGTGTAACTCTTCCTTGAATATATTTATTCACAGTTTGAACCAACTAAAACAATTTTGGATGTTCACACTCTGCTGTGCAGTTAATGTTTATCAAACTCACACTTTGGATCCAGTTATGTGCACACATTTCCAATGTATCATTATTTTTTTAAAACTAATATTAAGTTAGCCTTCACTGCAACTATACCAAGACAAAGTCACAATGTTTCTCATTCTAAAAATATTACTCGTCCACTTGTGGGAAATAAGTACCAGAGAGATTGCTGAGGGAGGCATTGATTTGTGGCTATGTGCTTTTTGCAATTCATTCACAGGATGTGGGGGTCACTAGCTAGGCTAAAATCTAAATTGCCTGGCAAGGCCAATGTTTATTACCTGTCGCTAACTGCCATTTAACTGAGTAGCTTCCTAAGTCATTTATTATCTTCCCTAAAGGACTTTACGGAACCAAATAGATTGTTGTAACAATTGATGACATTTTTAGGGACCAGCTTCATATTTCAGATTTGTTGACTGAATTTAAATTCACCTGCATTTTGAACCTACATCCTCAGAACAGTAGCCTAGGCCTTTGGATTGCTCGTCCAGTGACATTACAACTGCGTCACCATTTCCCCACACATACCATCTATGGTTGTGTCATATATATCAACGAGAAAACAGCAAGTTGCATTTATATATCTTACTTGTCACATTCACAGGACATCCCACAGAACTTCAAAATTAAGCATTTTTGAAAGAGAGGTAATCTTTTGAAGGCAAACGTAACTACCAAATCATGCACAATAAGATCCTGAAAGCAGCGATGTGCTCTTTCATGTCAAACTGAATGGGTTCTATTTAAAGTCTTCATTGAAAAGATGGCTTCCCCAATAGGATAGTCATAGTCACTGTATCCCTACAGTGTGGAAACAGGCCCTTCGGCCCAACAAGTCCACACCGACACTCAGAGCATCCCACCCAGACCTATCTCCCCTAATCTACACATCACTGAACACTACGGGCAATTTAGCATGGCCAATCCACCTAGCCTGCACATCTTTGGATTGTGGGAGGAAATCAGAGCAGATAGTGTCCCTTAGCACTAATGTACAGCCTGGATTAAGGACTCAAATCACTGGAAAATTGCTTCAATCCACAACTCCTTGCTTGATTTTACTAGCTACACAACCCTGAGGAAATCTGCCAGAGGAACATGTAATGACAAGAAAAGTCATTTCCTGTAATGTTCAGAAAACAACTTGGAGGATTCCTAAAGCCTATGAATGAAGTCTGGTGTTTTCTAGTACTGTGCCTGGCATTGATCTTAAATTTTTTTTTAACAGAGATCACAAATTGTTTCAAGTTCTCCAATCATATATTGCAAAGAGTCATATTGGACTCGAAATATTGCTCCTATTTACTCTCCAGAGATGTTGACAGATCTGCTGAACTTCCCTAGCATTTTCTGTTTTTATCTCAGATCTCCAATACTGGCAATATTTTGGTTTTATTTGATATATCATATGACTTACATGGCATTCTATATTTTAAAATATTTTCCAGCCGATTGCTTCACAGCCAACACCGATTTTAACTTACGGGAAAACTCAGCTCTGTTATGAATTAAATAGCTTAGGCTCTCCAAGTGAAAGTTTAGAAATGCAGGCCTGTGTTTGGAACTGAATCAAACAGATAGGAAGATTCTAGGTTCAATCCCCAGTTGCCTCTCCATCCCTTTCCTCTCTTTTGATTGTCTCGTCTTTGACCAAGCTTTTGGTCACCCACCCTGAGAACTCCTTTTTAGGATCGATGTTAATTTATATTCAGTCACACTCCTGTAAAGCCCCTGGGATATTTTTCTACATTAATGGTACTATATAGACAGCAACACAGACCAGTTGTTGCTGGTCTGTGCTCTGAGGCTGTGACGTGCACCCAAACATTCGGTAACGGTTTGTTTTGATTTGCATGTAATATTCCCATTGACCAAAGCCTGTTGTCAACCATTAGGAATGGTACATCCATGTACCCCAAGAGGAAAAGCAGAAAAAAATACAGGGTGTTGCAGGGGCCAGGTACGCAGGTGATGAAAACTGTCAACCTTGTCACTTGTAAGTATGTTTGAATAAGCAGATTAATCTCTTTAAGAGGCTACTTGTCTCACAGATACACTCATACAAAGCTACAAATAAAGAAAGCCAATTAGGAGAAGTTGAACTTAGGACAGAAGGACAGTACTGAACAATTAAAGACCTATCTTACTGTCCATAAATTAGAAGGAGTTTATGAGATAACCTGAAGTTGTATATAAATGAATTATCCTTCCATCATCCAGTTGCATCTATGTCAGCAATAAGCAACAGGTACTGAACAGTTACTGGCAAATGCTTTATAGAATACAGAAGACGTTCATGCTGGGAGTGAGTACTTTCCCTTTGGCTCAATAATATTGTTCCAACCTTTGAGTCAGAAGGTGAAAAGATTAAGCTCCATTCCAGACAGCACCAGAGCAAGACCATAATAAGGCCCAACGAAATAAGAACAGGACTACGCTGTTCTGCCCCTCCACCCTGAATCGCCATTTGATTGGATCATGGCTGATCCAACGTTCGTCATGTCTACTTTCATGCTCTTTCCCCATAATCCTCGTTTTTCCTACTGAGCAAGAATCTATCTATCTCAGCCTTAGATATTCACAAGGATACCGCTGCCACTGAGATTTGTGGGAAGAAGTTCCAAAGACTCTACTCAAACATCGAGTCAAAGTCACAGAGATATACAGCACGGAAACAGGCTCTTCGGTCAAAACTTGTCCGTGTCAACCAGATATCCTAAATAATTCCAGTCCCATTTGTCAGCATTTGGCCCATATCCCTCTAAACCCTTTCTATTCATATACCCATCCAGATGCCTTTTAAATGTTGTAATTGTACCAGCCTCCACCACTTCCTCTGGCAGCTCATTCCATACACGCACCACCCTCTGTATGTAAAAATTGCCTCTTATGTCCTTTTTAAATCTTTCCCCTCTCACCTTAAACCTATGCCCTCTAGTATTGGACTCACCCACTCCAGCGAAAAGACGTTGTCTGTTTACCTTATCCATGCCCCTCATGATTTTATAAACCTCTATAAGGTCACCCCTCAGCCTCTGACACTCCAGGGAAAATAGCCCCAGTCTATTCAGCTTCTCCCTGTAGCTCAAACCCTCCAACCCTGGCAACATCCTTGCAAATCTTTTCTAAACCCTTTCAAGTTTCACAACATCCTTCCTATAGCAGGGAGACCAGAACTGCATGCAGTATTCCAACAGTGGCCTAACCAATATTTTGTACAGCTGCAACATGACCTCCCAACTCCTATACCCAATGCACTGACCAAAAAAGGCAAGCATGGCAAATGCCTTCTTCACTATCCTATCCAACTGCAACTCCACTTTTAAGTCAGGAATAGTCACCTGAACTGGATAAATTCAGGAGATTTATTCTCCAACAAGTGAGTTGGAGCTAAAAATAACCACATGGAGGGTTGTATTCAGTGGTGATCAGGCAGTTTAGGTGCCAGGCTTGTTGGAGGTGGGGCAGCAGCACTCCAAGCAAGCCTATAAAAACCCTTCCTTACAACCTGGGAGTGGATAAAACCTTAGGCTGCCCTTTAGAGGGTTTTCTCACCCCCTCTCCCTAACCTTACACAGCCATGTCCTAGCTGCTGCAGCTATGTTTTAATTAAAAATTTCAAGAATGTAAAGAGAAGGAACCTCTATCGTGAAGAATCCTCCATCTTACTTACCTTCCAATGCAGGCTGCTGCATCTTCCAAGCTGAAAAACCTTTGATTTGACGCTAGCTTTAAAACTGTCTTCTGTAAATTGGATGGTAAATGTGATCTATAGGAAATTGACAGGGAATTGAGTGGCCGTTTTCCCACGGGCAGGATCAGGACCTGGAAACAGTTCAGATTTCTTTTTTCCTTTCCTGGAAGGAAAATCCAGTCCATGGTCTCTAAACTTTGTGTTGACAATCAGCAGGACACTCATACCTGGACAGGGTGACCACTGGCTCAGTGCATTGTTCCACATCAGAGTCAGATGGAGTATTATG